TATGTTTTCAAAATGCTACATTCAAAATAAAAGTGGATCATTTTACCTCTATTAGATCAAATGACCTTCGATACACGCCAATAACCGATATTTAATCGGGTAGGCCTACTGAAGATGGACATATCTCATATGACACACTGTTCTGTTCTTAGAGCAAACAAAATTCTTCCAATACGTTTGTTCCAATAGTTGTACAGAACCCATTCTGAATTTATATGCACACATGTAGTAAAATTTGTTGGATGTTTAAATTAATAATTAATATAATTTTATTATTTAGGAAAAAAGCATTTTGATTATACAATTATTTTTAATACAATTAAAGCACAGATCAGTATATTAAAACAAAATTACACGTACCTAAAAATTTACAAATAAATATTTGAAACGGGTTATTTAACTTTACAACAGCTTTTTACTGATACAAATTACTACTTTACAATTTTATTCTTAATTAATTCTCAAATAGATATATTGTTAAAATATGTGTAACAGTATTTTATGGTAAAGAATTAAACAACTATTCTTTTATATAAATTTCCTTGTCTATTAAAAGCTCTAATTTTATTAATTTATAAATAATCATTCAGCGGGTTGCAACAACGATCGTTAAATATCTAATGACTCGTTAAACCCAAATCTTTTACTAAAGGTGTAGTACGGGTTGCATTCTTCTCTTAATTTTTAACGACGACGTGAACTGGCAACGTCGCTTCATCTGTCAGCTTTGCTCGTCATTTACTTTGACAGATTATCTTTGCTGAATAATATTTTAGAATTTTTCAATTTTCCAGCCAATTTATGTGAGTGTCGAGAGGTACTTTGAATATATATTATAAAAGTTCAATTTGAGTTCGTTTAGTTGAAGTATTATAATGGTTGACAAAAAAAATCGCAAGCAATTTACTGCTACAGATAGAAGAAAAACCACTTGGTAAGTAAATTAATAATAAGTACATAAAATTCCTTCAAAAACATTCACTTTATTACATACTTAATTTGTATTTCCAACTACATTTTTGGGGTTAAAATTTTAGGTAAATTGCTAAGAAGTTGTATTGGCCAAAATACTAATTAGGAATAACTAGCTTTTATTAAATATAAAACTGATACAAGGAAATCTAAAAGTGAGATACAACAAAAAGAAAACTAAACTTTACAAGAGGTTAAAAAGAAGGAGAAGGTTCGTATTTTTTTGTCTCATTCAAAGGACACTTATTATACATAACATATTTGTACACCCACCCTTCTGGGACAGTAACATTAATATACTTACCTTCTATATAGTATAGAATATTGTGCCTTCTTAGTAATAAAAGAAAACATTTATTTGAAATCAAATTAAAAATTTATGCAGTAATATATTTAAAGTTAATTTTCTGAGCAAAGTACCTATAATAATAATGTTATTTAACAGAAATTTTATATTTTAAAAGATTAATTTATAGGATTTGAATTTAAACAGAAATTAAATCAGTTTTATATATACAATATAAAACTTCTTTTGTATGTGTTATTATTTATACAATTTTAGCAATATCTGTCTTTTCCCATTTTAAAGATTATTCAAACTACTAAAGTTAAAAAAAAATAAAATTGGAAATAACTAACGTTTAGTATTAATTTTGTTTATTTAAATTCTTTCCTTATTTGTTTAAGGGTGAAAAACGAGAAGGAGGCATGGTTAATCTTCAACTTGATGAGATAGGCTCAAATTAAAGCATTTTTTTATAATCAAATAGAGTCCCCATTGATTCCACTGCTGCATTCTTTGGTAAGAAAGTATTTTATTTAAACTTAGCTGTTTTATTATACATGGTGGTCAAAATTCGACGCTTTTACATGATACAACTAGATATCGAAACCTTATAACCCACCATTCTTAAATTTTTTGAGAAATAAAACATGGAATGCTTAGTTATGTTATAAATCCATTTTAGAAGCTATAGGGTGATTTTCTAATTTTATCATAATTTATTATCTCAAATAAATATCTTATTTTCAAAAACAATTTAATAATTTGACATAGTTACATATGTAAAATCTATTGTCATACTCTTATTATTTTTTCAAGGGGTACAAATTTTCAAGATAATACCATTTACCATTTTTTATTTGAACACCCAAACAAAATAATGATATTTTAAAAATCACGCTTACATTTTACTTAGGGGAGGAATTTATAACGGGATATAAAATAACATGTTTAGTTTAAAAAAAAGGTGAGATCAAATGTGCTTTATCCCCTGCTAATTTAGTAATATCTTATAAACCTGTCAAATTTGGACCATCCTGTATAATTATCACAAATACTTTGTATGTTGGTAAGAAAATTAGTGCAATATGAAGACAAATTTGGAATTGAAGGGAACTTTTACATATTTTAGTAAAGTATAACTGTAGGTTTATTTAGGTTCTTGCATTGCAATAAATAATTACACGAGTCCTAGTTAACTGCAGCTAAATATCATCGTTGAATCTCTATGTAGGTTCGAGTTATAACTTCTTCAATGATGAATTTCCTATAAATTTTGTTATATCATTATATTTCGGAACATACTTTTAAGAGCTCTAGAATAATATGTATTTATTTATTATTCTGTAGGTGCACCAATCAATAATTGATATTATGCCTCTTTTCAGTGGAGTCTCCGTAGCTGCTTCTCCTAGTAGTCTCTTCACTCCCAAGGAATCTACTAAACCCTTGCCTGGTCCAAGTAGACTCTTCCAGTCCCCCTGCACAGACTCTCAAGCAAAACCATACAGTTAAAAAAGGAAAACTTTGTAACACAACAAAATTAAAAATATTGTTGTATGGACAACTAATCTTGAAACAAGACAGGCTTGGCTCACAAATAAAACTTTAAAATATCTATACTGCCCCAGTAACTACACAAACTATAGAATGAAGATATATGCAATAAAATAAATTTATTAGTGCCAGTATTTTGATATGTGTTACCAATATAGCTTCTTTTGTTGAATTAAAGACAAGTTTTGAATAATGTTAACTAGTTATATAAATAAGTGTGATTTAATGTTTTGGGTTGATTTTTGATAAGAATTCTCTAGAAAAATGTTAGTTACATTGTAGAATCAAGTTGACTTTTTAGGATACAGAATAAAAATTGCTGGTATTTTGTTTACTTTTTAAAAAGAAAAATGGGTTAGTATCAGAATGGTCAAATAACCTCAAATATTTGTAATTTGTCAGTTATGGGGGTTTGGCTAATGACGGAGGTATAGCCTTGTAGCAATATATTTTTATTTTTAAATAGGCATTACTTTGTAGTAATATAGGTGTTTGCTAAGTATTTTAAAATATTTCATGAGATGATAGCATGAATAATTTTAAGTCATATAACTGTGGAGCTTGGTATCTCTACTTATATTGTTAAAAACTTTTTAATTCGTATAAATGTTATGTATTTATACATTCTCATTATTTTCAACCATATTTAATATTATTTTATAGTTTTTTCCTGCCTATTTTCAGAAAAAGTAAATATTTAGCAGTAAACTACTATCAGTAATAACATTTTTATTGTTTGTACCTATGTTGAAATAATCCATTTCTTTTTATACATTTATTAAATATGTGGAACTGGCTAAGTAGACATATCCAATACGTTAGGCAAACTGTAAATTTTAACACAAAATTACTAGTAAACTTGAAACCTGTCATAACCAAAAAGAAATCCTGAATTGAATGTTTATTTTCTAGAATTAGAATTCTTAATAATGATGGGCAAATTAAATGTATTTTTATTTATTGTAGATTTATTATCTTTTTTATTATGTTATGTATTTTGTGTATATTAATTTAATCCTAAAAAATAAAATTTTAAAATGAATTTGGTGTTTTATTTATGACCTACAAATCTGTAAATTATAAATGTGAAAGCAAATATATTAAGGTAAATAAGTGTAATTTACATAGCAATTATTTAATATTCTAAATTTCAACTATTACACAACCTATAAAAGCTAATTATCATATCATAATTATTTAATTTTCTCAACAATCTAGAAATGCCAATATTGTACAAATAGAAAGTTGTTCTTAAATAAAAAATAAATTCTAGCATTAGTTTATTAGCAAAGAAATATAGCATCCAAATTGAAAGAATTAAAGGAACTGTATATGATTTTCAAGAATAGGTCAAATGTGAATTTATTTCTCATACCAGAGATTTTACCATCTCTCCTCCAGTTTTCATTTTCTAACTAAAAAATAGATACTGAACTTTAAATTTCCCAATTTAAACAGTTTTTTACTTTGATTCATTGAAAAATGTATAAGTTACAAAATTAATTTAAAAAAACTGACGACTACAAAATACGAAGAGTGATTATTTTCTCATGAATCCCATCATCAGATCTTTACCAAATTTATATATGAAACCATCTCTGAGGAGCCCCCTTTCTAACAAAAAAATAATTTTCCATGACAAACGGGAAGAGAAAATGTAAAGTAAGTACAAGAAAAAATAGTTTTAGTTTATATAAAAGGGACAAACTATATTTAAATACTGTTGCTTTAAACCACAAATCACAGATTTTTAATCGGGCACTACTAGAAGGGCAGTTAAATGAGTATTTTCCTCTTTTTCCAGTGACTTCTTTGAACCTTTTCTTCATTTAAGCCATTCTATTTATTTTAAGAAATTATATTCATGTGTAAAACATTTTTTCTCTGAACCGACTGTCCTTGCTTCTGTATATTAAAAAATATGAGCCGATGTCGAAAAAAGATAGGATAGTGTTAACATTTAACCATAGCCGTAAAGGTTGAGCCTCAATTTCATTTTTTACTTTATTTGTAATTAGTTTTCGAAAAAATATTACCAAATTAACTTCATTAATATACAAATCTCCCGTGATCAGCTGTGAAGCGACAGACTGTCAGTTGGAAAAGCGCCGTTGCCAGTTTTAATCTCAGTTAGTTATTTGTTCTTTAGCTAACGAGAGATTTTAACAATCGTTCTTGCAACCGGCTGATTGTCTTGTAAATGGCAATAGTATATAATAAAACATGGAAACTTAAATAAAAAAAAAACAAAAAATTACTACAGCAGTTACTGCACAATTTGAGATATCCATGTTTTTAGCAACCAATAAACTTTAAAAATTAAATACATCACATTTTTTAAAGAATGTTAGATAATACAAATGTTGCAGTATCCACCCTGACTAATTCTTGAGTCAAATTTATTAACAGTAGTCTTTATAAAAATAAACATCACTGTAAATAATTATTACAATAATTTAAATAGATAACAATAAATAATGTCAACAAAGTATAAAAATCTTCAATATTATTTCTTTTTAATAAAATAAAAATGTTTTTAGCATATTTTTTAATTATAGCAGAAAAAATGCCATTATTTGGTTTTGGAAATTGATAAAAAATATTCTATAGTTTTTTTTATAAATAATAAAAAGAAAAATAATAATTTTAACAAAAAACTGAGATTAATAGAAATTAAAAATTGAATGAACAACGTTGATTAATATTACGCGTATAAACCATGTTTTAAATTCAACCAAAATTTAAAGATCTAGAAATATTGCTATAAAGCAATATTCTACCAAGCACAACATTGCCAATCACAAACACACAAGAATTAGAATTATCTGAAAACTTTATAGTAGAAAAAGGTTGTTTTACTTGTAAAAAGTATGGAAGAATGTTAAAATTTGTACGAAATTTGATTAAACCATTCGTTAATAAATTCTAGTTTCATTATCATTCATAATTATATAATAATCTTTTTGAGTTTAGAGACAATGCTGCCGTGGTATATAAACCAAAAAATAATATTTAAATAATTACATAAATGAAAAATAAGTAATGTAATATCGCACTATTTTGCGTTTCTAAAAATGTCACCAAGTTTCATAAAAAATGCTCTTGTTTAACAATTACATGTGTTAATTTAAACAAAAAGATTATAATATTTATTCTTGTTGTCACCTGTTGTTATTTTTAAGGTTCTCTCTTGTAATATGAAAAAGAGGGTGGTTAGTTTTGTTGAAAATGTACCATGACAGCATTGCTACTTTATTCGCACAATTAAGATTAAGAATTTAAAACATAAATATCTTTCAGACCGGTTATTAAGTCTATTAATCCCGAAACAGATAAATTAAATGTAGGCATTGTAAAATATACTTCCAATTCGTGATAATGAAATAAATTATTTAAATTACTGAGTAATTTAAATAAGTTATGCAAAACTCATTTTAAGAGAATAATTATTAGGACATCCTTTACTCCAGTAAAATTGGGCCTATATAGACCTGAACATCGAATCCGTACATTCCCAAACATTGAACCATTCTGGTACAAAGTTTCAAATTAAAATGGTTTTAAATAATTACATGAATAAAACAACCAAATACATCGTTTTGGCTTCAGTTGGTGAACGAATCGTATTATGAAGAAATTTGTGAATCTCTTTAACATACCATAAAATTCTTAATACTTTGTACCAAATTTGTTCAATATAAATTGATATCTTAATTGAATTACTTGTCAAATGATTCGTTTGGTATTGGCCACATTGTCTTACATGTGACTCACAAAATAATCTCTTTTGTTCTAAAAAACGCCACCTTGATGACTACGTTTAACTCACTGACACTTGCCAAAGAATGAGATGACTCAATTTATTCATATTTTTGTCGGCATCTGTTGCTACTGGTAAAATTAATTCCGGTATACTTTCTTCCATTTCGTCACCTACAGAAAAAATTAAGAATGAAATTTGTTTAAAAAATATTATATTCACATAGCAAAGCACTATACGAAGGTTAAAATAAATCTATAATCTAATAATGATCTGAATAAAAATATCAAATAAAAGATTAACTATTAATGTTTTTAAAAATGGCTCTTAGCCAACAATTTTCAAAAAGAGAAGAATTATTAGGCACATTTAAAAATTTTGAATTAAAAAACCGGCCGCCTACGTGCGGGAAAAATAATTGAAACTCCCCAGGGAATATATTCACATGCTTTTCACTTGCCCCAAAAGGGGATATTCTTTAAAGGAAGTGAAAGTCATCAGGAAGGAGAAAGTAGACGAGGAACATTAATGCAGGCTTGCCAAATTGTCATTCGACCAATTAGAAACTGATAAATTTTGACAGTAAATGAAACTAAAACACCATAATAATATTATATAAAAGGAACCTATAGGCCTTTTCTAATATTCAACAAAATGATGTATTGATGATAGATCTCGTGACCAACAAATGGGCGAGTGGTATAATCCTAATTTTTATTGGATGAAAATTACTTAAGAACGATTTGAGATTTTAAAATCTTAACTGTCAAACTGTTTTTATTTAATGATAACAAACAATTCGAAGCATTTTTTTGATAAGCATAAAAAGTAAAGACAAGTATGGGTAATAAATTTGAAAAAATATATACTTGCCTACATTTTATTGCTGTATGTCTGACAATCTTATTTTAAAAGTTAGCCCCACTTGGAGATTGGGTTAATAAAACCCAGTGAGTTTCTTCATTCATATTTCATATTATTAAGAATTTTGTGCAAACTTTTTCTATTTCCTTATCTATTTAAATCTGTTTAATAATAATAATAATAATTTAGGAAATGAATCGAAAGAGTATTTAAAGTTTTAAAAAAATTAAGTTTTATTCAATAAAACTCTATATAAAATTCGTCTGAGCGCTTTAAGGTTATGTCACGTGATCCATCAGTTAATCAACACAATCGAGTCGATGGATTTGGTGACAACCATCAGAGAATTAAGTTGAATTTAAGAATATGATGTATGACTCATCTAAAAATTTTTTATGGTTAAAGAACAGTTTTGATGAATGTTGGACGGCATCGATGAATATTAGAAAACGCCTTGTGATATTACGCCGTTCGATACTACGTCACGGTGACGTATAGTGGTGGGAAGGAGTGGTTTTTACGAATTAGGCATTCCAAACTGAATGCCTACCAGTGGGCTTTGACGGGTTATGATATTGCAAAATTATGGCAACCCTGTAGACCTGGCGATTTGACAAGGTCAATGAAATAGATAGTTACATAGATTGATTATCCATATTTTTCAAAATAAACATAAGCGTATGCCTTGAAGTAAAAATGTAAGCAATTATTTTTTTTAAATATCTAAAGGCTAAAAATTGGTTTTAAAACACATTTTTGCTAAACCGATTCAAATTAATAAATATTTGCCAGGCAATATGGCCGCTCGTAAACGACCAGCTTTGAGCAATCTATATAACTGTATATGTATCATTGACCCTGTTAATGACAACTATTTATGATTTCACGTATTGTAGATAGACTACATCGTATGTCGCCACCCTTTAGATATACCAAACCTTAGCACCGCGTTTCATTTATTTGGAATGCCTAATATGAGGTACCAGTTGATCGAAAATAGCGCGAGAAAATAAATTTTGATCTGCTCATGGCCAATCATATTCCTAGAGATTTAAAGGGCGGAACGTTCCCTTCGGGCTGTGGGGAACGTTCGCGCACGATAAATCGTTCATCAGAGAGCACATTTAGCACGAACGAGAATTTTCAGCACAATCTCGACCAATCAGCGCGCTTCATCCGCGTCATTGCTGCTGCTGCTGTAAACGCCCTTGTTTTATTATTTAGTTAACACTTTCGATTCGTTGCTTAAAGGTTGGCACGTGTTGTTGAATTTTTTTCAAAGAAAAGTAAAGTGAGAAAATCGGTTGATATTCGAAAAACTGAAATGAAATTTTGAAAACATGAAAATATATAATCCCCAATTCCCAATTATGAAAAAAAAAAAAAAAAAAAAAATACTCCTCCATATCCCTAAAGTGAAAACAAATCAAAGGAACACTGACAAAGCTAAGAATTAAAGAACCTGGAACCTTCCGATTAGAGCCGTCGGCGCCTCTAGCAGTTGGGCCATCGAAGCACATCGCTGCGACAGTCAAAACTCGTAGATTTGAAATTAATCAGATTCCGATTCTCGTCAGCTGTTTCAATTTTTCTTTGGTTTATTTTCACTTTTTCATAATTTCGTAGGCGAATTGGGGATTATATATTTTCCTATTTTCAAAATTGCATTTCAGTTTTTTAGATCTCACGAATTTTCTTACTTTACTTTTCTTTGTCATTTTACTTATGTCATGTAACTTAAGTTTTTGCAAGTTTTTTAACTAATACATATTTTTTTAATGTTAGAAGTTATTACTGTATTATTTACAACGCAAAATATTAATATAGTGCCATTTTCTTATGAAGCATTAGGAGAATACTGAGCATTTTCAGTATTTTGAGAATTTTAAGCATTTTCAGAAAGAACTGCGATAAGTTTTTGAATACTTTACTACTCCCCAACCATAAATTCTTGACTTTTTTTAATTTATGCTCGTTTACTCTCGTTCATGCTCGGGAAAAGTCCTACAAAAATACGTGTTCCAGAATTTTACATCATTACATATTCCACACCACAATACGTCATGCGCGAACTCGACGAGATTTCATGGGTTAAGTATCATACCTTTGTAATTTTTTTATCATGCTATGCCACTCCTATATGTCGTTCAGTTTCTTTTTAAATCCAGAGCGGCTAGAAACGTCAATCATCGCTCATTTTATCATCTTCCGTAAACGTTTAACTATAATTGGTACGTTAAGTATTATACACTACTCTCCAAAATTAACGCACCACCTTAAATGTACCATAAGTTTGAAGCTATTTTTCTTCTGAACTGTTGATTGGATTTCAATGATTTTTTTTCACATTATAGGTCTATTTCTAAGGAATTACTGTACCAATGTTTTCTGGGAAATGACAACGTTTAATGACAACGTTAAAATACAGGCAGAGCTGCAGTACTGAATACTTTATGTACTTAAAAAAATTACTCAAGTACAAAAAGTACTCAAGTACTGTACTTTAAGTACCTGCAAAAATGACTGTAATTGTACTTTAAGTTTTTGTCGTTGTACTTGTACTTAAACAGTAAAATTTGGAATTAAGTACTTTTTACTTAAAATAGCGAAAAAAGAAGGCAACTAAGTACTTTAAAAGTACTTAAGTACTTATAACATTCTTAAGTATGTCAATGTACCCAGAATGTACTTCAGTACTTCGAAATTTTTAACGTTTTTTTCTAGTTTCAACAGGATTTTTCTTGTCTTATTACCGATCCAACGCGTCACCATGTCACCTAATAAAAAGCCATCGCAAGTCATTTGACAATAAAGTTATAAAATTTGTTATCGACACTATGTCACCAATTTCAATTGTATCCAACCCTAGCTTCGTAAATTTATTTGACGGAATGAACGTTAAAGTTCTGGACCGTTCAGCAGCAACAAAAGCAATTGAGAAAATGTATCAGAAAATGGGCCAAATTATTAAATTAGATGTTTCGCAAGTAAATTATGTATGTATTACCGCCAAGAGTCGAAGCTTTATTGCCCAAGTAACATTTTTAAGAGAATAAAGTTTTATTTATGTTTTATTAGGATTTTGTAAAAGCATAAAAATTAACAATTATTTTATTACAGTTATTTTTTTTGCTAATAGGACTGCAGGATAAATTGATCTTATTACTTGGTTTTATAGATCCCTTTAAATCTGTTTAAAAAAAACTAGTTTATCCTAAAGTAAACTATGCTTTATCGCTGTCCTGTAAGGGTTAATTAATAAATAATTTTAGAACTATTTAGTTTTAAGATACTCCTAAGGTGTGTTTGGTGTTAAAGAGGCATACTTTTTAGCAGTTATCTTAAGTAGGTTTTAAAACTTAGCTTTAAAAAGTGTATATTCGATATTTACAATGTTATTTTCTATTAAATAATTTTCGGTAAATAGATTAGAATCCGTATAATAATCCTTTTTCACGTATATGTCATATATTGTAAGACCCATCATTTATTACGACCCACCTTGCCCACTTTTAACAGTACTTTGGTGTGTTTGAAAATTAAAGAAATAACAAGTGTAATTAAACAAATTAAACATACACTATATAATAATTAATTTCTAATATGGCAGTCTTCCCAACATGTTTGCAAAATCATTCTGTCGGAGAGTATGATAAAACAGAATAAAGCTAAAACAGTTTAAAATTTAATTCTCTTAAAATTGATTAGTTTTGTAGCCTATCCCACTTATTATCATAATCTTAAAAAATATTTAAAAATGGTTTAATAAAATTCTCAATATATTCTTACGGACTTTGTCTTACGTCTAATTAGTCTTAAGAAATTGTTTTAAAAATACTCCTAAGAACCGTTATAGGATTCTCCCTTTCACTCTTAAAGCAGATTTATAACAGACCTAAGGCTATCTTGCGGATTCAAAAGTTTTATCAGTGTCTCAAAAAAGGGTTTTATGGTTACCTTGTATACTTTGTTAAATCTAAAAATGTTACTTGGGTGGGGTGATATGCCATTAGCTGGATAAAGACCACAAGCGACACTCAGTGTCATTAGCATGTCAAAGATTTGCGGGAACCCATTCATATGATCGAATTGCGGAGACTTTGGAGGACATTCACAAAAAATACAATTTAGATACAACCAAATTATTAGCCACTGTAACTGACAATGGTTCCAACTTCGTTAAGTGTTTTAAGGAGTTTGGTTTAAATATAGGTAATAAGAAACACTCTACTGAAGAAGACAGTGAGTCTGGAGAAAAAGAAGATGAAGTCGTGTTTAACCCTATCATTTTATCAGACTCTGAGTCAAC